CCTCCCATACACAGAAGAGCGCTAAATTCTTCAACTTGAGATGCCTGCTTTTCTTTAGCTAACAAGTAATCTTTTAATGTTCCAAGTACCTGGTCTTTGTTGTAAAGCTCCTACATATCCTGGCTCCTCCCCTACCTCTTCAGAGCAGCCCCTCAGAGCCATCTGCGAGGCTGTCACCCAGGGCTTGAAGGGGTTCGAGTCCTCAGAAATGTCTGCCAAATAAAACATAACTCTCGACTTGTAGGCTGTGCATTTATTTCAGCCGATAGCACCAACATAATTTTATTTTACAGGTGAGGAAACTAAGGTTTATTCTCAATGATCCAAGGCAGCAGAGTTGCAGTATCAGTTCTTAAGTCAGCCTCCTCTCTTGTCCAACAGACAGCTCATGCGGCTTTATGTTTATTAAAGAAATACCTTCAGAGGGCAGGATGTAGTGGTAGAGTGTGTGCCTAGCATGCACAGGATCCTGGGTTCAATCCCCAGCACCTCCACTAAAAAATAAATAAATAAATACGTAAATAAAAACCTAATTACCTCCCCAAAACATTAAAAGAAAAAAAGAAAAAGGTCATTAAAAATAAGACATTAAAAAAAAAAGACCTTCAAATGCTGAGCACAGAAAGGCCACACTAAGATGTTAAATAAAAAATTAATAATAATAATAGTAATAGTTAAAATGTAACCAGTATATATTATGCACCAGGTAGTGTTCGAAAGATTTACATGTTTTAACTACTTTAGTTAAAAAGGAAGATCTTGTTACGGTTCTCAGCCCCAGGGAGATGTGGGATTGGTCGTGAGCCCCATCTTCCCTTTGCCTCCTGACCAGGCAGTGGTGTGTTGGTTGGTGTTGGCAAGTCTGAGTCCACAGACAAGATGATTGTGGCCACTGCTCCAGCACGCAGCACGAGATGTGTTTTCCGCTAGCGATGGAGTTTGGACCGATGCGCTGGCGCAAGTCAGCATCAAGGATGTCCCCTGTTCTGCTTCATCACCTCAAGTCCCTTATCCAAAAGGCACCATACACACCCAGGGATACAGGCAAATGGGGCCTGAGGAGGGCCGTGGCCCAGGTCTCAGTTGAGTCCCAGGGGTGCACCCCACCAAGTGAGAGTCCTTGGCTTCATGCAGGAAAGAAATCAAGAGTGAGTCATAGTGGAGCAAAGGTAGATTTATTCAGAGAGGTACACACTCCATAGACAGAGTGAGGCCCTCTCAAAAGGCAAGAGGTGCGGGTTTGTTACATTTTAGGGGCTCAGTAACTTCACACGCTAACAAGTGGGAGGATTATTCTGACTACTTTGGGGAAGGGGCTGGGACCCCCAGGAACGGGGCCATCGTCCACTTTTTGACCTTTGATGGTCAGCCTTGCAACTGTCCTGGCACCTGTGGGAGGACCATTTAGCACCTCTCGTCTTTCACTGAGCGGATACTAAAGCTCAAGGCCCACTGGGAGTTGAACATCCTGCCCTCTTGATGCTAAAGGCTGCGTCGTTCTTTCAATGGTTGTGCCCTGCCCCCCTCCCTCCTGTCTCACCAGGAGATATGTTCTAATTTAAAAAAAAAAAAAAGGAAAGTGGATTTTCCATACGCATGTAACTGAGAGGGAGCAGGCTAGCCGAGGCCAGACCGTGGTGGGGAAAAGCTCTGGGTTTTGCTGTGATTTCTATGTGCCATTGCATCATCTCAGCCTGCCACATTTCCATTCTTGTAACCTCAAGTGATTTTCAGCCGAAAATCCACTGGGCACACAGGCTCTTCCGTCCCTCCCTGTCCGTCCTCTCACTCTCCTTTCTCTTTCTCTCTCTCTCTCACACACACACACACACACACACACATACAGAGACAGAATACAGCTCAGTGCCTCTTGGCATAGATTTTGGTTCAGCTTCATTAGGCCAACCATCTGGGTCATTTCAATTGCGTTTCCAGTCCCGAAATGATTGCAGCAACTGCATCAGCCCATCCCGCAATCCCACCTCTCTGACCCCCTCCCCACACCAGCTCCCTAAGCCCAAAACTTAGTAAAGGAAATAAAATTCATGTTTTTGGAAGATGGGAGAATTTTCCTTTAATCCACCCGGGGTCAGACGGCCAGAGCCGCAGAGTTAATCTCCACGTTGGTCAGAGCAAATGAAAGCCCTTCTGTCGCAGAATCATTACTGAGAGCTGCGTACCCTCTCCCCGCCCCTGCCTCTGATCTCCCTGAACTCTGTGATGTGACTAAGCTCATCACTGGGACAGCATCCAGCAAATGAAATGTGACTCTGTAATTTCATCTGCAACCCTCCAATTGTACTGGAATGGCTGCTAGGGCCTTTGGCCTCTTCTTAACTGCTGGACTTTATTTATGCCAAAGGAAACGATTATAGTTTAGGTTAAAATCATCACTTGCAGGCCCTAAGAATCCCCAAGCTTGCAGAGGGTAAGCGCCTAATGTATATAGAAATATAATTGCTGGAAAACATTGTCTATGAAGTCTCTCTA